ATGCTTGGTATGGTCCACAGGTACACAACCACTCTGGCTAATTTTTTGTACTTTTTCGCTAGAAGATGGGGTTTCCGCCCATATTGGCCAGGTTGTCATTCTTGAACTCATGACCGGTCAAATTGCGTTCAGCGGTCTTGGCCTGCACCCGAATCACAGATTCTTTTTAAAGCATAGTTGTGTAGTAACTGGGCTCTATCAGTTGAGTTCATGTCCAGATGCTTTGAAGCAGTTTAATGCCATCCGGTAGGCTGATGATATAAGTCAGTATTGCAGCACACTCCTAGAAAAATTGTTCGACTTAATTTTTTGGAGATTTTGGGGGGGAATTTATTTTCTTTTCATAGATCAGGCAGGTGAATTATTGATTAAGAGTCTACCCCAGAGGGAAATTTTGGCCTGTGGGACTGTGGAAAGCAGGGTCAGTCTACTTCTCACCCGACTTAATCTAGACCACCTAGAATATTCATATCAGAATCCATGTTCTTGCCCTGAGAATGGTTGTGGTCCTTGTGCTATGACTGGACATGTGATTTGGTCATATGTGAAGTGCCTCGTGTAATTGACTTAATGTGACTCTTCTCTTGAATGTATTTACAGAAAATGAAAGTGATCATGAAAGTCAGAGGAAGAAAAAGGGGCAGTGTCCCCAGGTAATGCGGTGGTGGAATGGAGCTGTGAATTCAGTAGCTGACACATGGAGATGTAGATTTGGGGAAAGGAGGAAGCGATGCAATGAACTCTTTCTTTCATCATCAGCTACAATTCACTGATATTAACAATGTTGTGCTTATTGTGGACTTGTATTGGTGTTAATGTTCAATAGTCCTCTCAAGATGAGTACTCTGCAGAATCGTTGAGCCAGGTGAGCTTAGCCAAAGAGGGATATCTTGATTCATCTTTTCATAAAATACATCGCCTCACCATGGCACTACTTGAGTTTTTTTTGTTTGTTTGTTCCCCTTGCCTGTTGTTGTTGTGTTTTGAGGATGAGTACGCGCTCCGTACTCGCTTTTGATCTTACCAAGATTCGCTGTGGTCAAGTGTCTCTCGCGTGGGTGCGGGGAATCTACAATCGGCAACATGAGGCTGCATTGGCTTTGTTCCTTCTCGCGGGCTTGGCCACCTTACGGCTGCTAGAGTCTCTCGATGCCGTGAGTGTATGCTGTTTCTAGTTCCTAAGGTCCAAAGCCAAGTGCTTCTGTTCCGTCAGCTGCTGAAATTCCCTGTGGTAGAACACAGGATGCCTTTTACTGTAATGGTACGTGCTCTCCCGGGGAGGTCTTGGTATGTTATGTTTTTTTGCTAAGATGAGACCGTCACGGCTTTGCCACTCCGAGATGTTGCCAGGTCTAAGGTGTTTGCAGATTGTCCTCGAGTCACAGGTGATCTGATGCTCCACGTCTGCTCCCAGAGATCGGTGGGTGTTTGGCGGGTGTATTTAGGCTTGAGCCACATGTGTGTTTGTGGAGTTTGTGTCGCATAGCTCTTATTGAAATGTGTTGGTGTCGACTGTTCTGTGTTGTGTGTGTGTTGTGTGTGAATAGCTCTCTGTTTCTTGTGTGTTGTTCTTTGTTGTGTTAGTAGCGATCTGGCATTCTCTCAAAGCCTCGCTATTTATTGTTGCTTAATCTCGCGTACGTTGTCCTATTGTAGATCTTTCTTGTGTTTGTGTGGTTGTAACCTTTTGCTCTCTGGGAGTGACTGTTCTATATATGACTGTTGGATTTTTTGTTCTTTCGACGATTTGGTGTGTTGTGATTGTTGTGGTCATGACTGGGACAGGTTTTCCTGTTCTCTCTTGTGCTTGGTCCTTTTCTTTTCTGTAAATTGGTTTTGTATGTTCTCTCTCTTGAGTTTCAACGACATCTTGTTTCTGAGGATATCAATTCATTATAGTCTATTTTGGTTACCCAGTAGTCATTAGGAAGAGATGGGGTTTTGGAGTGGATGTCCTTTTTGTTGAAGTGGATGCTATTCCTTTCTGTTTGTTAATTTTCTTGTTAACAGTGAGGTCCCTCAGCTGCAGGTCTGGTGGAGTTTGCTGGAGGTCCACTCCAGACCCTCAAACAGGGATTTCTTGGTGTCGCCTGTTTTATCCCCTGCGTTTAAATCCAGGGAGAGAATGTACATATGCTTTCTGCTTATGTTTTGTTAGTATGTTTTCCAGTATTTGTGCAAGAAAAGAAACTGAAAAAATAAACATATTCTATCAAAATATTGGGAAAATGGGGCCCTTAGCACACAAGATCTGTGTCTGCACTGCCACAAGAGCTCTGTTCACTTGAATGCTGTAAGGAAAATTCAACGCAATTTATGCAAAGTAGTTGAAATCTTGTGTTAGTCTCTGTGCTGCAAGTCATGAGGGTAGTTTACAGGGCGAGTCGGGGTGCCCTACAGTGGCTCATCTGTGGCAAGTGTACTGAGCACGTGCAGCCCATTTTTGGTCATTCCCCAGGGCAGTCACCCTCTGCCCTGCATTTAGAAGAATATTTTTATTTCCGTTGAAGGAAAACTGGCTTTGGTTTCTGTGACCGCTCCATTCTGCCTCCCATCAGATCATCTGGGAGGTTTTGCTGTCTAATCTCTGTCGGTTAAATCTTCTGTCATCCCTGTCCTGCCTGTGTCATCAGGAATCTGCAGGAGTCTGAAGAGGAGGAAGCTCTCCAGGAATCCTGGGATGAAGGTTATTCGACTCGCTCAATTCCTCCTGACACGTCTGCCTCATACCAGTCTCACAGCAGCACCTTTCACTCATTAGAGGAACAACAAGTCGACTTGGCTCTTGACGTGGGCAGTGAGTACTCCATTGTGAAGGTGATAAAGCTCTAGTTCATGTCCCAAGTAGACCCCATAATCTTGGGGCTTTCCGCCCCGGTTGGGCTGAGAATTGCCATCACTGTGGGTTTAACCTATATATCAATGTAGATTTCAATCACTCTGGTGTCGAGTCTGAAGTACAGGCGTGGCGTGCTTCAGTGAGCTTTAATATCTTCCTAGGCTCAGGCCATGCCAGTGCCACCCTAGACTGAGTGTCAGGACATGGAACTCAAGGCAGGTGTGGCAAACTCACACCAAGCCATGCAGCACATGCCCAGGTGTTGTCTGTCAGATCAGTTCATGTGAATTAAATGTGTCTTGCCAGCTACAAAGTTCCTCATGAGTTTTGTTCGCAAAGCATGTCTGTGCGGTTCTTTACCTGCCCGAGGCCAGTGTCACCCTTGTCTACCTCTGAATCGGAGATGTGACCCAGGTTTCAGTGAATTTATCCCCATTTTCTGTGTCTTCTGAGTTGGCTTGTTTTAGCTCATCTGTCCATCGTCTTGCTGGTATGTTTTCTAGATAAATGACTGACTTTTCACCCACAAAAGCCATAATAGCTGATGCTTCTGTGTAGAAGCAAGTCTCGTTGTAACAAGAGCTGGAATATTACACCCCTACATGAAATCTCAGTGTCCACAATCTCATAAACTATCAAATCCTGGGTATTTGATGTGAGAAACCTGAATATTGCAGTATCTCTCCTACGAGGTGTTAGAAGTATTTGCCTAGAATCGATTGGGAAAGTCATTGCTCATTTGTGTACACAAACCTAGGACAGATCACACTGGGAAGATAACATTCCAAAACAGGAGAATTTTGCCCAAGGCTCATGAAAGGAACCAAGTCAGTTCTCTCAAGACTTGACCTCATGCCTCTGGTTATGTTTCTCTCAAAGTCTTCTGTTCCCACACTGAGAAGACTGATGTCCCTGTGTTAGGATTGGACAGAGGAATGTTTCTGTGTGCAAGGAAGAACTGCT